ATCTGAGCAATTAGGCAAACAGAGTGTCACTGGAATTTCACTAGAAATCCCTAAAAACTCTCCTAAATTTTGTCAGAGTGACATGGAACCCCAAATTTTCACTCCATGTAGTAGTGACTATTTAATTAACAGTTCTTGATTACACTCTAAATAGCTCCTGCGAGGAGGCAAAAGCACTAGGTGCCAAATTAAATCCTTTAAAAAAAAAAACTAAAGGGACTGGGGCTGGGGCTCAGAGGTAGCGGCACTTGCCTGGCATGTGTGAGGCACTGGGTTCGATTCTCAGCACCATATATAAATACATAAATAAAATAAAGGTCTATCAACAACTTTAAAAAAAAAAAAAAAAAACTAAAGCATCTACCAACCCGACTAATAGAGAAATTTCCTAAAATGTACAAAGCAATACTGCTAATGACCAACGCTATATCTGAGTTATGAAGAGACCTCTTCAGGTCCAAGCTAACTTACTGATCCAGCCACTTGTCCTCTCTAGGTCTCAGCCTCCCCTTACAAAAATAAGAAAGAATCCCATCATTTAACAAAAGAGAGCTATGAGATAATGCATATATGTATATACTTCTGAGTTTTGTGCTGAGTGGCATATATGAAAATCTTGTCTTCATCTACCATCCACTCCAAACAGATATTCAAACAGAAAATAAAAACAGTATTCAGCCAGGCATAGTGGCACATGCCTATAATCCCAGTGGTTAGGGAGGCTGAGGCAGGAGGATCCTGAGTTCAAAGCCAGACTCGGCAAAAGTAAGATGCTAAGCAACTCAGAGAAACCCTGTTTCTAAATAAAATACAAAATAGGGCTGGGGATGTGGCTCAAAGTGCCCTTGAGTTCAATTCCCAGGAACACTCCTACCACCCCCCACACAAAAATACAATATTCATAGTTTTGATTGTAAAAGCATGCTTAGTTGAGCATTTCATAACTGTTTCTTCTTCTTCTTTTATTTTTTTTAATATTTTTTAGTTATAGTTGAACACAATACCTTTATTTATTTATTTATTTTATTTTTTTTAATATTTATTTTTTAGTTTTTAGCAGACACAACATCTTTGTTTGTATGTGGTGCTGAGGATCGAACCCGGGCCGCACGCATGCCAGGCAAGCGCGCTACCGCTTGAGCCACATCCCCAGCCCTATTTATTTATTTTTTATGTGGTGCTGAGGATCGAACCCAGCGCCTCGCACATGCTAGGTGAGCGCTCTACTGCTGAACTACAACCCCAGCCCCTCTCAACTGTTTCTTCTTAACATGCTTGATAACTTCTATATTTTTACCCAGATCCCAACCCTTTCCTTGAGTTCATATATATGCTACAACAGTGGGAAATAAAAGTTCTCTCTTTCTCAAATGCTGAGAAGCCTTGAAATGCTACTTGACTGGTTTTCATTTCCTGATCCTCTACCCCTACCTTCACTCTCTCTGGTGTGAATCTGGTTTATAAAGACAGTAAAGAGAATCAATAGGGATAAACAGATGGGATCTGAAATAACTGCACATGTAAACTTAACAAGGCCCACCTTCCTGTTATTTAACCCAGAGTTCACACACCTGCTTGGGCTGACAGGCTCCTTTGTCATATGGCTAGTAGTAGCTTGGAGAATTCTGTTTATAATTTGTGGAAGTGTGCCCAGAGTTGCCCCAAACCTCATTAAAGTACATCTGATAGTGACTCCAATTGTTTGAATGTTTTAAATCACAAGAGGAAAATCACCCACCAACTTGTAACTATTTCCAGAGCCTAATAATCTACAAGGAGGATTTAAAATAAATACATAAATAAATGATTTTTTTACAGACTCATAATAAAGTGACCAAAATTTAAAAAAAAAAAAAAAAGATCAATAATAAGTATCTAAACTGAACATTCTATGTTCTATGTAAGAATAAGATATGGAGAAGGCATAAGGGAAAGAAACAAGGAAAGCATACTTGCCACTTGAACTTTCTAAAAGCAGTATTCCCAGGTTGCTCTTCAGTCTTTTGCTTACATAAATATACTAAGAAGCCTTAAAAAAAAACCACTCGCTTGGTTTTCACTTCCTGATACTCTACTTTACCCTTCACAGTGTTTTAATGGTAATTCTGACTTTTAGCTTCTAAGGAAGGATCCAACAAGAACTCATACCCAAAGCCTAAGTATAAAAGGATTAATGAAAAGTACTAGAAGTTAAACACTTGAAACATCTCAAGGTCTACGTGTTTTCATGTCACAATTGTCTAATTTCTTAGTTGAAATGAATTATTTTTAAATTCCTGCAATATATTTTTAATCAGAAAATCTTAAGACACTTTAAATAAATATCCATAGAATGTAAGCTATAAAAATGCCAAGTGTGCCTTTTATAGCCTTCATAATAGATAAACAGGAAACAAAGGCAAGCAGCCAGATAAAATTGCTATAGGTGCTGGCTATTCATGCCATTTTATTATCTGTAAAGTCTTCACTGTCTTTAAAACACACAAAAATGAAACAATTTACAAATGTATTTTACCACTGATTAGGTAGCTTGTGAAGAAATAACCTGCCAAGAGAATAGAAGGATTTATTTTGTTTCTTGGTTATCCAACAGGAATTATGCTTAAGAAATCTTAAATGCCAAAAAAGAACCTTGGCATCAGTTTTAAAACAAATAAGAAAAAAAAGTTAGTTAAGAAATACAATTTCAAACAAAAAAGGTACAATCGAACCAAACATAACTTGTAGAGAATTAAAAATCATTATCATTGCAATTCTAAGCTAGTTTAGATATCATTAAAATTGTTGAATTAATTGTTTTGGAGATTGTGAAAAAAAATTCTTAAAATATCCCTCTTTTTTGAATAGTTGTATTTAAAATTGCTGTACAACAAACCAAATGTTTAGACACACACACGTATCCAGTATACACTAAATGATCATAAAGATAAATAATTTATTGGTGAAAAATGCTAATATATCTGCTACCCTATAAATAGAATCTTTAAACAGTACTATAGGAATAAGCAGACAGATAAATTTTGTTCAGGTATTTCTTTATATATGTGTATTCTCAATGTGAAAAAAATTTAAATAAAATATCTTCTTTAACCAGAACAGTATGTATGACCTCAAAGCTTCATTGTTCACTAATCCTCTTAATCAGCATCAAGGAAACAACTTCAAAATAATATAATACTTTAAATAACAGCTCTGTGGAAGAGACAAAGCTCCTTTTTAATTCTACTGATGTTTATTAATACTGCTTTTAAGAGTTTATAAAATGTTGTCTTTTCCACTATTCACAACATGAATATCATAGTAAGACCTTGGAATATCAGATCTTAGAGTTATATTGGAAGCTGGATTACTTCCTAATTTCAAGAAAGTAAAAATAGCATCTTTAATAATTAAACACAAAACGAAAAGTTCCTAAGCAAAAAAGAATTTTTAAAACAATAATACTAGTATGGCTTGCACCCATTCTTTAAACTTCAGCAATTAGAACTGCTGAAATCTCACCTAGATCTAAAATCAAATGTATTTTCCAAACCAAATCAGATCTGAACACTGGTGTATTGCATCATCAGATGAGAAATTGAAGTATTCTAGCTTTGGCCTTTTCTCTGGTTGCTGACACATCAATACCCAAATTTGTCAGCTCAGAGATGATGCTCTGTCATGCCCAGAGAAGTCAGCATCATGGAGAATTAAAGAAACCACTAAATACTTTTGCCTTGCTTGGAAATAGGAGTTCAAACCAAACTCTATGTGTTCTTAGATATTTGTCCCTGCCTTCTCGTAGCTCAGAGGGCCTTCTGGGGTCTTTGTGAGCTGAACCCCACCGGTCCTTCTGTCCTCCAGTTCCACACCCCTTGGCCATAGTCAAATGAATTGCTCAGGGTTCCCCCTTCTGCTTGACTCTCCCACTTTTGCATCTCTCTCCCCTTAGAACTCTTTCCCCTATCCTCCCTCCCCTGTTAACCCTGTACTTCACAATAGGACTTATTCTGGGAAGCCTCCCTTAACAGGAAACCTGGGAGATCTGGGGTAGATAAAGGCTAAGACATCCCTTTTTTATGGACCCAGAATAAACAGTCTTAGTATTTGCCATACAGTTTTGCATTTCCACCTCTTATCAATATATAACAAAGACTCCAGTCGGAATCTAAATCTAGTTCATTTATCTTCTAATTATCGGATCTAATGAAGTTCCCAGTACATTACAATAAATATTCAAGTCAAAATTATTGAGAAGATAAATGAATAAATGTGAAAGATAAGCCAACAGGACTTAAGGACACGATACTCTGGTTTTATAGTAACAGATTTTTACCTTAGAAAGCAGATATTGATGTGATAAAAAGTATAAATTTAAAATTTTTTGTATTCTATCACAAAAGACTTCTAATTTTATATAAAAATGTAGCACACAAATTAGATTTTAGTAGAATAAAAGATCTTTAAGTGCAGAAGTAATTCATATGACTCATATAGAATTACAGAAACTAAATACAACACAAAAATAAATATTATCTTCATCAATTCCTAGCTTTTAGGTTTCAACAAAATCATGTCAAAAGTAACTATTCCTATTCCTTGACCACAGGTTTCACCAAATTAAAGATAAAAATCAAAATAAATGGGGACCCTAAAAACTGGCTTTGAAAGTCAATATAGGTCAATGGCTATTTAGTGTGAAATTAGTGAAAAGAGGGAAAACCTCTGCCTACTTCCCCAATTCCAATGCTTTGCAAAATGACATAAAACACGAATCTATAATGATGAAATTCTTTCACATCAATTTGAATAGTAACTCCCACAGAGTTTTTTGGTTTTGACACTTCAACGTGTCATAACCTGGATAAAGCACAAATCAAAATGTCTTTTCAACACAGCCAAAATAATAACTTGAGTTAAAAAATAGATCTCTATTTCTTACATTAGACACAGTTATTAGATTACAATAAAAATTGTGACCAAACTGGAAATGGTGTTCCAAGGTATTTGAGGATCCTTACCTAATCCTATTCGGTTTGGACTTGTTTCACGGCTACACCCCTGACTCCTGGGAATCTTGCTTCGTTTTTCTGAAGATGGTGTCACAGGTGGGCCTCTCGAAGAACCACCAGCAAGTCCACCATAGCCACTTCCCAACAATTTCCCGGGGGAACTCGACCGACTGCCAGCTAAAAATGAAGCAATACAGAAATGAATGATGGATGTAAATTGACTAATAGATTACAACAATTTCAAAATCAAGTTTTTATATATCAATTTTGATTAAATATGAAAAGAATTTTATATAAAATAGATTTTGTTGGTGGTAATACTACTTTTTAAGAAATGTATGCACATAAAAGAATATCATAAAAAGATCACATCCATGCTTAGAAGAGTTACTGGTGGAATTCTACAAAGTTGCACAATTTCTGACTCAAAAACTGAAGGCAAATGTTAGGCAAATGTTCTACCTCTGAACTATATCCCCTGTCCCTATCATTTTGGGTTTTTATTCTATCAGAGTATGTTAAAAATTTAAGTGTAACTACCAGAAGAACAGAAATATAACTGTAACAGAAATCTGTTAAGCATTAATTAGGAAAAATGGATAAAAAAAAAATTGCCATTAATTTAACAAATGGAAGGGGGAAAAAAGGAGGCGAAATAATTAGAAACATGGGTTTAAAAACATTCACAAACATTTCAGTAACCATAACAAAGGTGGCCAGATTAAATTCATCTACTAAAAGACAGGGCTTCTTGAAATGATTTAAAAACAAACAAAAAAACACATGCTGTTTTTTAAGAGTCAAATAACACATCTACAGAAAAACAAAGAAAAAACAGAATAAAGTACAGCATTTAAAAAGGATAGAGAAGGATATTTAACACTGATTTAAAAAAATAACTTTCTACGAAGGTCATAACTACAAATGTTCATGCTCCAAACAATATAGCTTTGAAATATAAAACATAAAAAAGATTAAAATGTAGGGAAAAAGTCATAATTACTAACAATGTCAAGAAAGACTAACAACCCTCTCAGACAAACTGACACAGCAAGCAGATTTAATTCTATGTGTATGTGTTTTGAGTATACGTGTATATATAGTCACATGCTGCGTAACAATGTTTTGGTCAATGACAGATCAGAGCAGTAGTCCTGTTTGATTATGTGGCCTGGTGATGTTGCCATCTCAATTTGTGTAAGCATACTCAGTGATATTCTCTTATCAACAAAATCACCTAACAATGCATTGCTCAGAGTGCTTCCTTATCTTTAAGCAACCCCACAACTGTGTACGCGCGCACGCGCGCACACACACACACACACACCTCCTATATACATTATCCCAGCAGATAAAACATATTCTTTTCACCTTTCCAGACATAAATATTACAAGAAATAACTGCATACTAAGCCTCAATGCAAGTTTCAAAACAATCTGCAAAAGTGGAAATCACATAGACCATATTTCCTGGAAAATATGCAATACAACTGGAAATTATAAGCAACATGGTAATTTTTACTAATAGCTAAGTAGCTAAATACCAACCTAACCATTTCCTGTAGGAAAAAATTTTCTGTCAAACAGCAAAATTTTTAGCATTATACCAGTGTACACCCTAATGATCATTAACTTGGATCATGTCCTTAAGCAGAAAGGTAATAAAATTCTAAAATGCAAAGCATACATTATTATGTACCAAAACAGAACGGTCTGCAGGGCGGGGGGGGGGGGGTCCTTTGAAACAGTACTTACCTGGAAATTTTACACACAGACAACACGCAATATATATTTTTTTTAAATATATTAAAATTTATATTTCAAAAATTTACATTTCATTTAGTAAAACTACTATCATTCATATGAATCAGCTAGGTGACTATTTGCAAAAAAAAACCACTTTAAAATGATTTAACTACATGATTGTGAAAGTCACAAAAATCAATAATACACATTACCATGAAGAACTGACTCAGGACCTATTAATTTTGCCTATAAAATTTGAGCATATAAATAAACTGCTAAGCTATGTAAAAGAGGAAAAGAAATACATTTCAAACTCTAGTATTTGAACATACAGAAAAATGCAGGAGATTAATTAAGCTCATAAAAAAGAAAAATTAATATTGTGCAAAGAACACGGGGTGAGGGAGAATGCAAAAAAACAAAAAAGGCAAGAAGAGATATGGCTTACCACCAGCAGGATTAGCAGATCTGGATCCTTGATTATGAGAGCAGACCAAAGGACAGGCAAAAGTGGATTAAAAGACAACACAATATAGCAGGTCAGCATGCAACACAACGTAAATGTCTCATCAACAAACACTTCAGCAAAATAGCTATTTTTCCTGGGACTAATTCCTCCTCATCTACTTATGTACATGTGTCTATTTTATACTCATCATACTATATTAGCATTTACTTCACAACTGTTCATAAAACATTAGTCTACAATGTGCCTGCCAGGCACAGTGTTAGGGTCAAGAGTTGTGGAAAAGAATAAGATCAGCATCTCACCTTTCCAGAGAACATCTCCCTCTCCAGGTCTAAGCAATATGAGGGAAGTGAGCATAATTTGCTCATTTGTGTATCAGTATCATCTTCAACAGAGTAAGTATTCGACATGTATCGATGATTGGAAAGAAACTGCAACTGACTAATTTCACCTGCATGTTCTACCACTTTCTTTAATCCACAAATATTTAAAATATGCCAATTATTAAGGGCTGTAAATCTAATATTAATAAAATGTACTTAGTATTAAACAGGAACTATCAATTCTGTTTTATATACATATGTACATATACATATAGGTGCATTTATGTAGATTTCTTATTGAAATAATTGCTAAAAGTATTTAATTTATACGCATAGGCTTACGGTGCAGGCTTAACCATATGCTGCTGTTTGGTGGTCTCCCTTCCTGTGGGTTAGTCAGGCAAGTAAAATAAAGCTAAAGAGGTTTAAAGTGGAGCCCTAGGGCCAGCTTCAGTATGTTGATAAGTATACAGAATTAAAAAGCTCTACCCCACTGAGTCTCTCTAGAGAAGGAATTTTGATTTTCACCACTCCCTAAGCACAAGTAACAAATGGATTCCTAAAACCTATAGTAGGGAGGGAGGGATACAGTATTGACCTAGCTGAGGCAGGAACCCTGCAAAGGCCAATGCCAATGAACAGCAGACTAAAAGAAATGCTTAATACTGTTCAACCTTCATCTCTACAGAAGGAAATAACACTGCACAGTTAAAGGCAAAGATGGTTCTTATTGGACTAAATTTCTTTATATTGACCTTCATTACAAGACTTGAAAATTTCTGGTCAAGAAGAGTTATTCACAGTAAGATCTGACCAATGTTTATGAGGACATGGCTGGACATTCCAGGAATCACAAAAATTCAACCCAAGAATGAGTTGGGGTGCAGCTAGCTGCCAAGGCAGAAGCTTCTGGGTAATACCTACACCCAGATCTGAATGGAAAACCCAGAGAAGTAAGGCTTTCTTCGCTTAACAGAGTCTATCTAGCCTTACAGTATTCCCCATCACAGAAATCCATCCCTAGATTTCTTTCCTAAGCCTCATATTGGTCATGGATAAAGGCCACTTGATTCAGGCTGAAGCCAATATGGTTCTAATACCTGTTTCTGTTTACTGAGTGTCCATCACAGGCTAGCTTCATATTTCTTAATAAATCCTCACAAAAGCCCCATGCGGGTGGGCTTTGTTTCCATTCCATTTACAGACAGTGAAACAAAGGCTCACCAAGTTAAAAGATTCATCCAACATCCCACTGGAGCCAGGATATAAAAGGAATCAGGTTTGTGTGACACTGAAGCACGTGTTTGTTGCATACTGTACTGCACCTTACCACAGATGTCAGAAAGATTCTGTAGCCTCACTAGAGGCAGCAATGGGACTGACCTTCCACTATTCTTGGCAAAAAGATCTAAACTTTTTAACATGAGGACCACAGTTGCCAAAAGGGACATGGAAAAGAATCTAAATTCATGGGATTATAATAGGCATTCTCAATACTAAGCAAGATCCCAAGGTTTGGCTGTAGTGAGTACCCCACAAGAGCTAGACAGCTCATGGGGACAAGATGGTGATAGACTCATGTCAGCTAAAGAAGCTAAGCTGAGGGAATGTGAATATGTGCAGCTCCTGAGGACAGGAAGACCCTTTCTCCCCACACTCCCTTTGCCCTGGGGCACGCTCTTTGTGCACAGAGGCAGCAGACCACTCACGCCTACATGGAACAGGAAAGTGAGACAGCAAGGTTGGATTCAGACACTGATCAGAGAATTAATCCATTCCAGCTACACTGCTTTCCTAGCTGAGCTCTCAAATGAACTGACTTCACATATACAGAAAAGCAATCATGGAAGCGAGCAGGGGCAGCTAGGCAAAGCAAGAGCCCACACTGATGAGAAGACAGGTGCAGGCTATAAATGTTAGCACAGAGGGTTAAAGGGGGAGCGTTTAATGGATTTACTTATTTACCCCTGGAAAAAACTCAGCATTCATAATTTCTGTACAGGTTCTGCCCTGTACAGAAGGGTTCCTTGTCAATAATAAAAATGGGTCACAGAACAGATAGGTTTCAATTTGAGAGACTTCAGAATGGGAAGAGAGTATACTTTAATGCTTAAACAGCACAAGGTTTAAGTCACCTGGAAAGGACACCAGATTATGACTGGAATAATCCATTTTGTAAGCTTACCAAGAAATAATGTGATTACCACAGTATCTTAGAGCCACAAAAGTGCATCTTTCCCTTGAAATCAGTTCAAATACTGTGAACTGCTCAACTGCAGAACATGCTGTTGAATGAAACTAAGGTTATCAAGAAGGAAACTAAGGTAATCTTACGCTGAGACTGTGAAACCACTTTAGCACGACTGCGGCCCCGACTGTCAGAAGGTGTTGAAGCAACATTGGTGGCACTCCCGGAGCTTTGTCGTCTTGTGCGGATGCGACCTGGAGGACATAACAAAACATGTTTCCGCAACATTTTCAGCAAGTGTGACCTACTTGAGAAAAGAACCTACATCATGAGCAAAGGGCACTGATGGAGTCAACTATGCAGGAAGCAGGGGCTTTTTTTGAACCAAGTCTCCCCCCCGCCCAAGTGAGATGTGATACCAGGATGATCAGGAATGACAGTTTTTAAAAAATTCTCCACAGGGCTTCTCTGATTTCAAGGGAGCACAAAATGCCTCTCCTGCCAATCCAATCAGAATTGGGTCTGACAGGGAAAACAGGAACTAATGTGAACTTCTTCTGCCTTCTTATATTGTTCAAAGTTTCATGTACCCCAGCATCTGGCAAAGCTTGCAGAAAAGAAATGCAGAAAAACAATCCCAAGGCCTGAAGGAGGCTCAAGAAAGAAAGGTAAGGAATAATAAAGAAAGCACAACATTAAAAACAAAACAAAAAAAACCCTGCAATCAATCACTTATAGTAGAAATTTAAGGAAAGATATACAAAAATTATAGAATCTACATGAAAATTAAGTTATATTGTTTACCCTATTAGAAACTATATGTCTACTTGGAATCTTCACAACGTAAGAAGAAACTGTTGCCATTTTAAGATGAGAAAACAGAGAAACAAAGATTTGTTTATGTCACACGACTGGTTTGGATACCTGTGCCTGGCAGGTCAGCTGGCCTATGAATGAGGTCCTTTGATTCTCCTAAGTCACCAAAGCAGTCAGACAAAATGAACATGGAGAAATTACTGAGTCTGATTTCTTATTTTAAATTACAAAAAGATTTTTAAACTGAACATGTAGCCCATTTGGCTTAAAAACAAAAACCCTCTTTGCTACCCCCTTAAATCTTATGTCTTCCTCCAACATTTGGTAACATGATCTTAAACAAACTCAAGTGTCCAGCATTTCCTTGCATTTCTTATTTTGTAAATAAATATACGTCCATAGCCAAGAAAATACATGGCACTGTTTTGCATAATTTAAAATTTAAATTGTATCACAAGTTATATTTTTCCCTAAAATGCACTGCTTTTGTTCAATACTGTATTTGTGAGGACACTAAGGGGATTTTTTCCATACCACTGACCAATACTCAGATTAAATTTACTTAACTCTTCATATTGACTTACAATGCTACTTTTGTCGTCTTTTCCAAAGGTCTGACTCAGTTTTTATACTCGTCACAGGTGCTTTTTAAAAAATTCTACACAGTATATTTTATTAAATTATAATTTATAACTATTATTGACATATAAAAATGTAATTAATCATTATATTTTTTATCTTAACCCTAGGAACGCTGTTAAACTTTTACCAATTCCACTGACTTGTATATAGACTATTTGGAGGTATCAAAACAGAATGTTATCTACAAATAAGACGCCAACTGCTCCCCTTCAAATCATTTAATTTTTTTGCCGTTAATTGGCTGTCTTAGTCATGTATCACTATGCTAAATAAAAGCGGTGAGGGTAGACAGGCATTGGTGACTCAAAACCAGATTTAAAACCAATTCTGAGCCAGGCATGGTGGCATACTATAATGCCAGTGACTCAGGAGACAAGGGCAGGAGGATCACAAATTTGAGGACAGTCTTAACAACTTGGTAAGTTTTTTTTTGACCCTGTCTCAAAAAAAAAAAAAAAAAGAAAGAAAAAAGAAAAAGAAAGAAAGAAAAGAAAAAAGAAAGAAAAGAAAAGTGAGGTGGTGGGGCTTGGCTTGCTGGGGATATAGCTCAGTGGTAGAGCACCCCAATAGTATGAAAAAAAAATATCTGGAATGTCACAGTATATACAATCTTAACAGGTTAAGAATATTCATTTCTATGCTAGTAGCTAAGAACTTTTGTCATAAATGTTCTTTGAAGTTTCTGATGCTCTGCATCTTCTGAAATAAGAGCTTTTTAACTGAATGTGAACTAAACCTGGGATATACCATGTGGTCATGTCATACACACACACCACAGAGAACATGTGCATTGCACTCTAATGCTAAGGTTAAACCAGTGAGAGGAGTTCCTTCCTTTTCTGTTCTGACTTTTTCTTAAGATTGAAATGTTTCAACACCTGAGACAACTTGTATACATAACCATCTGAGTGAGCATGGTAAGTATCTATTTTTTTAAAAAAAAAATTTACCACATAACTAATTGTATATATTTATGGAATAATTTGATACATTCATACAATGTGTAATGATCAAACTAAGGTAATTAGCATTTCTCGCCAATTAAACTTTAACCATGTCTTCACATTGGGAACCTCTGAACTCCTCTCTTTTAGGTCTTTCTAAAATGTATAACAAATTGTTATGGACTCCTTATTGTGCTGTAGAACACTAAAAATTCTTCCTCTTATCTGGCTATGTTTGGTACCTGCTGCCCAATTTCTGCCTCTCCTCTCCCCATTTCTTTTTTGGGAGGTGTAGGGTAAGAGAGTTTTAACAGATTTTTTAAAAATTGCTTTTATTTTTTAAACGCATGACAGTGGAATACATCACAATTCTTATTATACATAAAGAACATAATTTTTCATATCTGTATATAAATTATGTTCACACCAATTCATGTCTTCATACATGTACTTTGGATAATGATGTCCATCACATTCCACCATCCTTGCTAACCCCCTGCCCCTTCCCTTCCCCTCTTCCCTCCCCTCTGCCCTATCTAGAGTTTGTCTATTCCTCCCATGCTCCCTCTCTCCCTACAAGTTTTAACAGATTAAACTACTTAATGTAGTCTTGCAACTACTCAAATTGTTTGTCTTAATAAAACAGTTTTGGGTTTTCCTGAAATTTGTCTATAATTATTTTTTAAATTATCAAAATAAGTTGTCTCCTACTGATCCACATTTTCAACTACTTTATCTTCATAGTTAACTTGTACCTTTTTTCTGCTTCAATTGACATTTCCCAAAGTTTGCAAATTTTATTAGTTTTCAAAGAATTGAATTTTATGTTTCTTAACCCTCGCCACTGAGTGTTTATTTTCTATTTTATTAGTTTTTACTCTTATCTTCATTATTTTCTTCCTACCCTTCTCTGGGTTGGCTTTGTTTGCTTTTCTAATAGACTGAAAATCAACTCCTAAATTAGTCTCTTCTAATATAAATTTAAGACTATGAATTTCCCTCTAAGCTTTGTTTTTGCTTCACCCCACAAAACCTGATAGGAGTTCAGCACATTGTCCTATATTTAAAAAATATACACTATGAATTTCATTTGATAATGTTTTGCTTTGGAAAAATGAATGGGATCATATTTCACACTTTGTATCATTAAAAACAGCAAATGGACCTAAGATTAAAATGCAAGGGCTGGGGCTGTAGCTCAGTGGTAGAGCGCTTGCCAAGCACATGTGAGGAACTGGGTTTGATCCTTGGCACTGCATAAAAACAAATAAATTAAATAAAGGCATTGTGTCCATCTACAACTAAAAAAAAATTTTTTTAAAAATGTGAAATTTGTGAAACCATAAATGTTCTAAAAGGACACATGGAAATACTTCTTTGTAACACAGTGAAAAACTTTCTATGATCTAAAAGAAGTAAAAAAAAGACTGAGGGCTGAAGGTGTAGCTGAGTGGTAGAGCACTTGCTTAGCATGTATGAAACCCCAGGATCGATCCCCAGTGGCGGGAATTAATAAATCAATAAATTACTTAATATTTTTTAAATCCAAGCATGTCAAAAAAAAGAAAACCATGAGCAAATTCAAGAAAAAGTGAAATTAGGAAAATTTTTTTGCAATTTGTATCACAAAGGGCTCATTTCCTTAATATATAAAGGGGTCCTAAGAATTAATAATAAGTCCTACAACCAGTGGCATGCTGGTTTAAGAATAAGTGGAGGGATGTCCTACTGATTTGCAATGTTTTCCAATTACCATGGTGCAACTATTGCCGCCATGGTCCATTTGAGGCTATGGAACATGATTTTAGAAATCTTACAAAATCCTAAAAATTTAACAACTGGCTTTTGTGAACTGCTACAAGCCAAGCTCAAGAATAACACTGCCATAGAAAAATGGGCAAAGACCAGGAATAGAGAATTAAAAGAGAAAACAAAAATGGCTCTAAATGTATGAAAAAGTGCTCAGACTCACTATAATAAGAAAAAACTTAAGATGCCATTAAGAATACCAGTTATCACCTACCATACTGACAAAAACATCTAGAATTTGGTGACATTCTGGCATGTGGGGAAGCAGATACTCTACACTGATGAGAGTGAACATTAGAATAGCCCCCACAGAGAAATATTTGGCAACAGCTATCACAAAAGTATATACATACTTCTGACTTAACAACTCTTCTTTGGGTAATTTACCCACATGCAAAGTAATGGATATAAAGGTTAATCTTGGAAGCAGTGTTTGTGATATGAAAACACCAGAAACAACCCAAATGCCCATCAATAGGGGAGTGGTTAAATAAACTCTGTCCATACAGTGGGATATAATGTCATAGTAACTATGAATGAGGAGGTCCTGATTCAACATGGAAAGACCTTAACACCTAATAAGTGAAAATAAACAAGATGCAGAATAGTGTGTGTAAACACACTACAAAATTTTTTATATTTGCTATTATATGCAAATATAAAAATATAAGAAACTTAGGGTAATAAGGAAATTAAGACAAGGGTTACATTGTTGTGGCCTGGGGAAAGAGGTAGAAAGTAAGCAAATGAAGGACGAAAACTGGGGAATCTTTTAACTGGGAATCTTTAGCCTTTTTATGTTTTTTGAGTTTTAAACTGTGAATATATTACCTTTTCAAAACTCCATATTTTATAAATCTCCCACTGTATGGATGAATTTGCAAATACATATTAATACATTTTGAGGCTATTTTAATTAGGTTCATAAAAGTCTAGAACTATAATCTTAATTATTTATTAAAAGTTTTATTGGTACATTGTAATCCTCTTTAATAATGCTTTTTTTCCTTTTTGGTCTACTAATAATTCCTCAATAGCTTTCT